TCCTCCACGTTTATACATCATGCCAACATAATAAAGTCAGGGGGAGAGAATGGCATTCCTCACTGATCTATTCTAACCTTTATTGCTCGTACTGGACCTTCACTAAACACATTAAAATACCTCCAGTGACATTCTACACACATACACATCCTGACGTAATCCACTAATTATATCAAAACTCAATCGCCACTCTATAATAATCTGTCACGTAAGCCCCTTGCCAGGACGACACACAGGGAGAAGAGAAACAAGAGAGATAAAACAATGAAGATAGAGAAAAGATAAAAGAGAAAATGAGAGAAAATTTACATCGCGTATCCCCTTCCAGCCATCCCCGCCCGTTCTCACAAGTCACAATGTTGCCTAAAATACGCGACTCCCACCAGACACGCCAACCTATTTGCAAATGTCCCGCCCTTCATATATATACAAAGCGGCGGGGAAGCAGAAGAGCCTCTCCCGTATGGCTTCCAGCGGCTACTGACGGGGAGGAAGTTTGCGTAAAATAATCGCCAAGAACACACTACTTCCCTTGAACACCAACCAGTAAGTGTGTGTACTGTCCTCCTCTCCTGGCTGTGAATATAGCCAGGAACACACCAGACAAAGTTGATATAGCCCCCCCCCCAAAAAAAAAAGCCAGGTGTAGTGCATATAGCCGTGAACGCGCCAGTACCGGTAAATATTGTCAAGAACACTTCACTGCCAATTGATACCGTCAGCCAACACGTCAGGGGCAAAATATGTCGTCAGCAACACTTCAGAAGCTGAAAACGTTGCTGATAACTCTCCAGGAATGGAAGACTTGTCCTGGAAGAGCGCCACTTACCGTAAATCCCGCCAGCAAACTCGCCATTATCGACAAATATCGCCAGCAGCAACACGCCAACCACGGCAGACACCGAAACCCTCAGTACAATAGGCATTTCTCTTCTCCCTGACCCACAACCGAGACCAAAATCGATAAGGGTTCATCCACCGCGAATATTTAACTCTTACACGTGTACGTTTAGATAACAGAGTAACCAGCAGAAACCAGGGCATGCAACGGAAGGACGAAGATGGAGAGTGCCGCGACCACATCTTCCCGCCATCTTCGACTCCTTGATAGGGGATACGATCCTCATTGTTTATTTACACCGCGAGGGTTCAATTTCTCAGAGATTGTTCCGTAAGTTTGAATGATAGGAGGCATACAGGAGAGCCATTAAGATAAGCCATTAATAGGTAATTGTTTGTATGATTCAACACAAGGCCATAAACACAACGCCACAAATATACACTCGTTATATACGCACACACACACACACACACACACACACACACACACACACGGTAGGTTAGACTATGATGACTTAACCACTTGCCCCCTTGAGTACGATGTCTAAACCCATCGAGTAAGATGACTTAACCCCTTGAAATGGCGTGCAGGAAGTGACGTCACGAGAGGATAATGGCCGTGATACATCCAAATCAAAACATCAGAAACGTAAATTAGTCGTAATTGCCTCACGCGATAAAATGAGTTAGTAATTATTATCTCAAAGACTATAAGATAACCTTAATTATAGCTTTAATTAATTAGCAAATCTAACCTAACCTAACCTTAGATAACAATGGTTTCAGAAGGTTATTAAATCATATGAAGATGACATTTTCTTTCCTCCGCTCTCTCTTCACAAATTCCAAAGATTAATCACGCATATCTTTCAGTAACAAGTGTATTGGGTCAACAAACTAACAAACAGCGACAATGTACCTAAAGGTCATAGGTTAGGGGTCAATTATTTGGATATTTTGATAAAAGATATTGTCCTCTCTCTTTGTGTTTCCCGTTTTCTTTGACACTTTTTTACAGGGGTAACTAGTGAAAGATGAAATGCCTCTGTTATTCGTCGCAATTCTCTCTCTCTCTCTGATTCCTTCTGTTTATTTTCGCATCTATCTCCCCTCCCTTTATTATTTTTCTCTCTCCTCTTTGTCTGTGTCTCTCCCTGTTTGTCTCTGGGTTTTTTCTTTATTCTCTTTATCTCTTCCTCTCATGCCCTTCTTTTTCCCTTGGCCCCTTTCCCCTTCCTCTTGTTATTTTTCAACTCCTTCCTCCCTTTCTATCCCTCTCCATCCCTCCCCTTCTCTTTCCCTCTGCACCCACCCATCTCCTCTGCACCCACCCATCTCCCTCTGCACCCATCCACCTCTCTCTCATATTCCACCTACGCATCAAATAATTAGGACGTTGATGAACACAAGAATGTAACATCAGATGCATATTTCTGATCCTTCTGTGTGTGTGTGTGTGTGTGTGTGTGTGTGTGTGTGTGTGTGTGTGTGTGTGTGTGTGTGTGTGTATGTGTGTGTGTGTGTGTTTGAAATAGGCCAACAAGAAAGATAAAGCACGAGTGGATAGATAGATAGATAGATAGATAGATAGATAGATAGATAGAGGCAGTGGACCCCTGTGTTACGCCCATTCCAGGAACTTCCAACTAATTTCAACGAACTGTAAAGCTTCTGGGAAAGACTGTGTCAATCAGCCAGTCAGAATGCCAGCCAGCCAGTCAGAATGCCAGCCAGCCAGCCAGCCACAGCCAGCCAGCCAGCCAGCCAGCCAGTCAGCCAGCCAGTCAGCCAGCTAGCCAGCCAGCCAGCCAGCCAGCCAGCCAGCCAGCCAGCCAGCCAGCCAGTAAGGGGAAACAAATGAGGAACGCCAGAGAGCCGATAATGACTTGCCAGCGGTGATGATCTGACCTCTTCACTCTCCCCTCACTCTTCCCTCACTTCACTCTTCCCTCACTTCACTCTTCCCTCACTTCACTCCCTCATTTTCTCTCACTCTCACTCTCACTTCTCTCTCATCATAACTCCCTCCTTTCCACTACTACCATTACCATTTACCACCACTACCACCATTTACCACCACTACCACCATTTACCACCACTACCACCATTTACCACCACTACCACCATTTACCACCACTACCACCATTTACCACCACTACCACCATTTACCACCACTACCACCATCATGCTTTGAACTAGTGTTGGTAGTGGTGGTGGTGGTGGTAGGTAGGATTATGGTAGTGGTGGGTGGTAATGGTGGTGGTGGTAGTAGTAGTAGTAGTAGTAGTAGTAGTAGTAGTAGTAGTGGTGGTGGTGGTAGGATTATGGTAGTGGTGGGTGGTAATGGTGGTAGTAGTAGTAGTAGGTAATAGTGTTGGTGGTGGTGGTGGTAGTAGTAGTAGGTAATAGTGGTGGTGGTGGTGGTGGTAGTAGTAGTAGGTAATAGTGGTGGGTGGTAACGGTGGTAGTAGTAGTAGTAGGTAATAGTGGTGGGTGGGTAGAATGATAGTAGTACTCGTAGGTGGTATTCAGACTGTCGACTTTAAGCTTGGGACAGAGGCAGTGTGTGTGTGTATGTGTGTGTGTGTGTTAGGTAGTGCAGGCTCCTCCCACTGATACAACACACACACACACACACACATACACACACACACACACACACACACACACACACACACACACACATACCCTCACACTCCGATAAGGGTATATAGTCATTCTCATAGCCTAGTATAGTCCATATATAGGCCACATATATAGTACTATTACTCACACAGGACTGATATAGGAAAGATATAGAGTGGGTTATATTGTATAGGCTCGTATATAACCAGGAAATAGTCATATATTCAAGACGATAAACAGTGGTTGATGATAAAACAAATAAGGAAATAAAAATAATAACAACATCAATAACAAAAGAAGAATGAAAAAGGTTATTGAAGAAAAAAATAATAACAGTAAATAAAAACAATAAAAACTACAACGAAAATAAAAGACAAAAAAAAAGATGAAAGAAGAAAAGAGAGAAAAATAACCAAAGAAAACAAAACAAGATTGGAGAGAGAACCACAAACAGAGAACTATGATCCGCCCATAATAACTACGACAGCTGACGACCATATAATCCTGACACCTCCTGACACCTCCTGACACCTCTTGACACCTTGACACTCCTGACACCTCTTGACACCTCCTCCTGACACCTCCTGACACCTCCTGGCACCTCTGACACCTCCTGACACCTCCTGACACCTCTTGACACCTCTTGACACCTCCTGACACCTCCTGACACCTCCTGACACCTCTTGACACCTACTGACACCTCCTGACACCTCCTGACACCTCCTGACACCTCCTGACACCTCCTGACACAAGCAACATCTCACACGGACACCTGATTTATATTATTAACTCCATGAAGATTATATATCAACTTATATGACCTAAATTGACAGATAATTTAACGTCTTCTTTATATAATTCCACCTTTTTACAGTAATTATGTCTATGTCATTCTACACTTTGCTCTAGGTGTGGTTAGGTTAGGTTAGGTTAGTTTGTATTAATAAGGACCTATTTTAAGATTAATTATTTCTTAGTTAATTTCTGATATTTAATTTATTTGATTTAAATTTTTTAATATTTCTGTTTACCTGATTATGTTAATTTGTCGATTATTTAGTTAATTATTGTGATTATGTAAATGATTTAATTATTCATTTGTTCTTCATCTATAACTATGTTTACGGTTATTTAGTTGTATAATTGTTGTTGTTAGTGTGTGAGGTGATTCAGCGGCCGGGGTCATTAAACATTGTTAACTAGTTATACAGAGTTAACTCCAGTACAGTGTTGAGTGTTGTTATACTTTTCACTAAATTAATAAAACGGTTTTTTTATTTTTTCATTATAATTCCATCGTAAAATCCTGTTAAAAATATGTCTGCAAGCGTGACGTCATGAGAGGTCCACTATAATTAACCTGGCGGCCAAAGTTGGTTCACTACAGCTACACTTCATATTTTTTTCCTCAAAAACTTCAATGGCGTAAATTCCTACAGTAATTAAACAACACAACCTAAAATGGTCACCAGTATAAAGATCTTGGCGTCTTCCTTATAGAGGCAGCTGGTGACGGCTGAGACAACATGACTTACCTTAGTGAGAAGGTTGATCATCTCGAGGGAACGCTCTGGGTGTTCTTGGGGTGGTGGCGGATCCTTGGACACTTGCTGGGATCCTTGGAGGCCCGCGGAGCCTACGCCCTCCTCCTGCCGCAGGATCTCGGCGATCCGCTCCCTGCGGCGGATGTTCTCCATGACCTGCTTCTCCAGCACCTTCCTGGGGATGTGGTCCTTGACCAGGTAGCCGCGGTTACGGATGAGGGTGTCGAGCTGCTCCTGAGCCTTACACACGTTGGCCTCGGGGTCCTGCTGCTCCCCTGTCTCCACGTCCTCCTCCAGGGGCGCCGTCTCCCCCGGGGGCCTCAGTCTGATGCTGACCGTCTTGCTGGTGCCTTGACCGGTGATGGTGGGCGGGGCGGGCACGGGGATGGGCGGCAGGCTGGAGTGGGACACGGTGGGCACGGGGACACCCCGCCCTCCCGTGGCCGCGTCAGCGTCCACCGTCACCGTCTCCAGCGACATGGGCGACTTTTCGTCATCCTTGTCAGCCTGGCGGGCGTCCCGGGGGTCTCGCCTCGTCCACAGCCGCAGGATGGCGTCTCTAACTCCTCGCCAGGGGCCGGCCTCCATGGCGCCCCTGGGCCACCTTAGCCAGTGGCCAGTGTGGCCATGGCAGGGCCACCTCTTCACCGCCGCCTACAGGCCATGGCGCAGCCGTGTCCTCACGGCGGCCCCAGCTACCAGAAGGTGTGCGGGGCCGCGGGCTCAGGAACCATCGCCTCACGACCTTCACACACACCACACCACTACACTCTTCTGGGGTCGTCGATGACAAGGAGGAATTTTGTTCATTGAGCAATAATATGGTGAAGCACCAAGACTTTCCCTCTCACTGTACTAACACTGAACACTGGCTGCCCCTCACTAACACACACATCACCGCCTCAACCATTGAGCATCACACAAACTTTTGAGCACAATTGTTGTAAGTTCCTCACAACTCCCACGACGTGAAGGTCATGTGGGACAGATGACACGTGGGGTCAGATGAGGTCAAGAGAGGCGACTGAGAGGTCACAGACTAACACAGAAAAAAATGGTTCGAGTCACCACTGCTAGGAGTGAAATATCAAGAGACTTGAAAGTTCACCCGAGGAGTCACAGTACACGGCTGAGTGACCCATGTTATATTCTTCTCTTCCACGGGTCAAGAATAGCACAGGTCAGGGTACTTCGTAGTGACGTATAGAAGGTCAAAGGTCAGAGAGAGCGACGCGTGAGAGGTGAGGTTAGGTCACGACGCACCAGGAGGTCACTGAGCGTATCAACTCAAAGGCACTGGACTCCCGAATGCTGCAGGGGTCACCAACCCTCACCAGCCCGACCAACACATCTGGAGGGAGACGAAACAAACATTACAAAACAAGGTAGAGGTGTTAGCTGGCTCTCTCTCTCACACAAGATAAACACGAAGGTAAATGTTACCTCAGAGGTGTGTGTCCCGCCTCCCGCCGCCGTGACGGATGTAGGTGTCAGGTCAGGGTATGTTGCTGTCTGTTACACCTCACCCACTACACCTACACTTATATTTGCTCGCTATACCTACACCCATGCTTATACCTGCCCACTACATGCTTATACCTGCCCACTACATGCTTATACCTGCCCACTACATGCTTATACCTGCCACCTACACTCAAGCTTATACTTGCCACCTACACTCAAGCTTATACCTGCCACCTACACTCAAGCTTATACCTGCCCACTACATGCTTATACCTGCCCACTACATGCTTATACCTGCCACCTACACTCAAGCTTATACCTGCCACCTACACTCAAGCTTATACCTGCCCACTACATGCTTATACCCACCTACACTCAAGCTTATACCTGCCACTACCTCAAGCTTATACCTGCCACCCCACTCAAGCTTATACCTGCCACCTACACTCAAGCTTATACCTGCCTACACTCAAGCTTATACCTGCCACCTACACTCAAGCTTATACCTGCTACACCTACACAGTCTATATAAATCCAAACAGAGACAAAACCTAAACAACAAAAACAAATAAATTACAAAAACAGACGAAGGGATAAAAATAATATGACAAAAACCAAAACCAAAAAACTGAATAAATTATATACTGTACACCTGAACACACCTGAATCAATTATACTTCACAGTCAGTTATAAAACAAAACAATGTATGTGTATAATGACGCTTGTGTGTGTGTGTGTGTGTGTGTGTGTGTGTGTGTGTGTGTGTGTGTGTGTGTGTGTGTGTGTGGTGTGTGTGTGTGTGTTTTACTCTCTCCTCCCCAACTAGGAATGAAAACAAAATATCAAGATGAATTATATACCAAAAGATGCTCTCTTGAGTAATGGTTTCACGGCTTATTAGTAAACACAGAGCACAGGACAGCTTCATTTATCAAAGGGCGTATGAGCTGTGTTAGGAGAAAAACATGGAAGGTTTGTGTATGTAAGAAGTCAACACACACACACACACACACACACACACACACACACACACACACACACACACACACACACACACACACACACACACACACACACACACACAGCCAACCTTCTTGTCATTATAACAATGGCTTCGTTAAAAAGGGGTGAAAAAAATCAATTCAATTTCATTCTGTTGCCAATGTTCAGGGGAAATAGCACCATTGTCACCACTGTAACCTCACTGTTGTTGCCAATGGAATAGCTCCTCGAACACCACTATGATTTCTCCAGTAACTTTGGCACCATTATAATCGATATAAAACACTGCCTTTATTTACTTGAACCATTGGAATGTATAAGTGGTTTTGACTGTAACTGTAAATTTAGTAACTGTTAGAACCACTGGCACCATTGTAGTCCTGTATGATTACCATTGTATTAACTATAACAGAGAGCTAAGATAACACGTACCAATGTAATCTAGGTGTACCAATGGAATACTCAGGAACGATAGAGTGATATCAAATTTAACCTCCATTATCAGTGAAAATGTTACCACTAACACCAATGTAATTTTGTGTGGGGACCATTGGAATGATAGATATTTAGCTGTAGATTAAAAACTTAACTACTCAGCTCACGGCTATAATTAAAAGCTTTCGTGATGGTACTATAAGCTTTAGCGTTTTAGCTGTCGTCATAGCAGATGAAAACCTTGATTTTTTTGGCCATATTAAAAATTATCTCAAAAACTCACTAATTTACAACACACACACACACACACACACACACACACACACACACACACACACACACACACACACACACACACTAACCTCCTCTACACCACCTACACACCCTACACCTACATCCCTCACCTCCCCACACCCTTAATGTGACCCCCCTCTAATGATAAAATTCCTAAGATAATGAATCGTTATAGACTATGGAGGTTATTGCAACCCTGATGACCTCACAGCCATGGTAGGAAGGTCAATAATAATTATGGTTGGCGCACAGTGACCTGATGTTGTCATTATGGTGGTAAGTAGTGAAGATGGTGATGAGGTGTGAGTGTTGGTGATAAATTGTCCCTATTCTCCTCCTCCTTGAGATGGTTGTTATTAGCCAACACAGTGAGAAAAACTAGCCAGTTGAAGGAGAAACTAGCCAATACAGCTTGAAAATAGCCAAGGTAACCTAAATTTAGCCCAAACAGCCTGAAGTTAGCCAACACAGACCTGAAACTAGTCAATATAACCAAAAACTATCCAACGAGGTGAGAAAACCACAACCAGAGAGAGAGGTGTTGAATATCTCTGTTTTTTTTTATTTCCGGGATTCGAACCTTGGTGGATGCCATGTGCCGTCTCTCCTACAACCACACAACCAACATAACAAAGATAACATACATACACACACA